TGAATTGCCCCCGTAATACAATTGCATCTCCAGCAGAATTGCGGCTCCGCCGGGAGTACTGTGCAATTTTTAGTCTGGGACACCGTGACGAACAATTGCACAGTTGTTTTTCGAATTTCTTTTTTTTTAAACTACCTACTTAATTTCTGATTTATTTTTATTTTTCTTTGTTTTTTTAACAATATTTTCCATTTATTGAAGCGAGCAACACGAGCAATGAGTTCTGAAGAAGTCCTCGAAGACGTGGAAAACGTAGAAGACGTGGAAGACGTGGAAAACGTGGAAGACGTGGAAGACGTGGAAAACGTGGAAGACGTGGAAAACGTGGAAGACGTGGAAGACGTTGAAAAAGTTGGTGGAAACTCTAGAAAGAGAAAGCGTGGAGCCCACCCCTTGGATTACAAGCTTACGGTGGTGAAATGGGCAGAATCAAAAAATAACACGGAAGCAGCTAAGAAATTTGGAGTTTCAAGACAAAATGTGCAACAATGGAGAGCTCAGAAAGAAAAAATAATAGCAACAATCGCTGAAAATGGAAAAAAGAAAAAACGGCTTGATGGCGCAGGGCGTAAAGTGAATGATAAAGATTTTGATACTAAACTTGCGGAATGGGTCCGAGAGCAAAGAGAAAAAAAGCTTCGTATTACTCGTATTGGAATCCAGAATCGCGCCAAGTCTATTTCAAATAGTGATATGAAGGTTTGAAAACAGATTACCTACTTGAGATTAAACATTAAATGTTGCAGTTCTCGAATGGATGGCTGGTTTCTTTTTTGAAGCGGCATGGATTTTCGAGTAGACGTGCTACAACAGTCTGTCAAAAACCGCCAGAGTTTTATGTGGAGAAAATTATTGACTTTCTCCTTTATGTGGAACGATTAATTGCCATGAATAATTATGACAAAATTTTCGCATGTGATGAGACGGCGGTTTATCTGGATTGTTCGAATAGTTTGACTGTAGCGGATCGAGGATCTAAACAAGTCAGCACACTCAAAAATAACAAGCTAAACGTTTCAATTTCAGGTTTCAGTGAAAACCACGGGACACGAGAAATTGCATGTTACAGTAATGCTGTGCGCTCGATCAGACGGTTTTAAGTGCAAACCTTTTGTACTTTTTCCATAGANAAAAGACCCAGTGCTAAAGTATTGAGGAAACATTTAGAAAAACTTTGCAGTTGGTTTGGTGTGACAGAACA